TTCTCGTACTTTACAAAGTAGTCAAAGTTCCAGGTGGCCAGTTGGGTAGTAGTTTGCTTTTTGGACTTGGAAACCTCTTGAGCAGGAAGATGTGACGACTGCAATATGTACAGAGACTCTGAAACGGACGTAAATGAAATGAGAATTGGTAAAACAATAATATGAAAGCCCAGCCTTACCGTGCAGCTCTTTGGCATTCGATTCATCACTCCAGCCGCTCCAGGAGAAGTACAGTGCAAAATACTGAATGGCCAGGCCAAAGCACGTTTTGATATAGTTAAATCGTTCCTTGAACAGATCCAAATTGCTGTACACATAGTTGACCTTAACCAACTCCTCATCAATGGCTGCGGCTAGAACTTTCAGATGATTATTTAAATCAGGCATCGATTTACTTATATCATGTATAAAGCTCTCTGGACTGACACGGTGCGGATGGAGAAAAACTGAATCTAGGGAGTCCTGTTGGTCATGGACTGTAGCTTTTAGTTTCTGGACCACATCTTCAAGCAGGAAACGTAGCTCCAACAAGCCTAAAGCTTTGCCCTTTTCCTTATCATCCAGTGGATAGTTCAAGGATAGCTCTTGCTTCTCCAGTAACACCAAGATGCGCACATCCATTGGTCTGTACCGCTCCTGTGGTCCGTACAACTCCTCAAAGTCAATTTTGGTTTTGTTGGTCGTCTTGCAGGGAGCCACCTTGAGTGTAAAATCTCCTAGTGTCGTTTGGTTACAGATGTCGTCCTCGGTTAGCGGGGTTTCATGCGCCTTGTGCATGCCGCCTTGCCGTTTGTGCATCGTAACTTTCTGCTTTGAATGGTCGAGGAACTGATATGGAGGAGCTACAAAGTCGTCAGGCGCATGGGTCAAGAGCGCCTTGATCCTTTGCTCGATGCTTATTAATTCACCCAGACGGAGCAACACTCGTTCGCGAGTGCCACGATGAATCTGAGCAGCAAACGCACTGATTGTTACCCTAATCCAGTTGATGGTATGGAAATAAATGCTAAGAATATGTTTCTGCTGCTCCTCGTCATAATTGTCGAAAATGGCCACGTAGCTATCGTCCTCAAAGAACGCTGGCAGTACGATTGCGCAGCCAAGCAAGGCATTGATCAGCTCCAGGCTGCCACGGTAGCTATTTTGGTGTAGCATCCTCACAAGATAAAACAGCGGCGTCATCACGTATATAGATTCAGAGGCTCTGTAAATGCGACAAAATTAGCAAAGTTCTTTTTAAGAGACAATTGTTCTCACTCGTTTTTGGGCATTAGGACAAGCTTGGATATATTTATGCCAATGCTGAGTACCTCTGCTTCCGAATTTATATTCGATTCGTCCAGTTCATTGATGTTCTTTTGATATTCCAGATAGATACCCCTTTAAAATGTTTAACGTTTAGTTTAGCATAGTTTCAATCGAAGATGCTTACTTCATTGGCTTTGGACTGTCTTCGGTAACGAAGCTTTGCTGGAAGCGAAATGTCATCAGCTCACAGAGCCACATGGTAAAATATTTATCGTTCCAATATGACGATATGGGACATCTTTGAGATATAACGGTGGCCAACTCTTCATAAAACAGCGCCAGAGACTCAGCACTGTTGATGATGGATGATTCGGTGAGAACTGTGTGTGGTAGAAATAAGGAATTACAAGACCTTCTTCAGACCTTCATCAATTACTCACTTATCAAGTTGGCTGCCACTTTGGGGCGACCGTCGGGCAAGCCATCAATGGAGTCCACGACGGGCGAGAAGTCCTGGCTTCCGTCGTCTAAGCTGTGTTCCTCAGTGCACGCAATGGCATTAATTAGCTGTACGCTGCCAATGATACCTTGCTTCTTCACATAATCTGTTCGATTGATCAGCTGCTTCTTCACCACCATTTCCACTTGCTCCTGAAGCTGCAGCGACTCGGGTAGCTTTGGCTCCGGAAAAGCCAAGTTGCAAAGCACTTCCATGGCCAGGCGAGTTTGCGGCAGTGTTAGATCACTCAACCGATCCAGCATTGGCAAGAAGAGAGGCGCACAGTTCTGCACATCCTTGAAGCTCTTACGCAGCAGCTCGCGCAGCAAGTGCAAGGCCATTGTGGTAAGGTGTTGCGATGATTTGTCACAGGCCAGTTCAAGTAGCTTCCTCAGAATATTCTTCTGAATTGATGTAAAAATCGTAAAGAGTACGCTGCGGTAAACGAAACATTAGCTCGAGCCAACGGTCCCCACCGGTGGGCAAATGCGCATCCATTTACCTATACGAAGACTTTGCAAACTCTGCCACGGCTGCATTCTTTTCGCACATGAAGTCGTGCAGGATGTGCATCAGCGTGCTAATATTTTGTTCCAAAATGTGCGGATAGTGCAGCTTAACGTCCTCTAGAATGTGTACTGTGATGTGGTTTTGCTTTATGCGACGACGAAGCTGTCAAGACCGTTGGGTTGTTAGTTTCAAATTAACATCTTAGGGGTATGGAATTTTTACTAACAATGTTCTCAATGTACAGGGAGTTGTCTTCATTCACATGAATCAGCAATAAAATCATTATTAAGTCAAGGGCGCTGCAAAGACATATAGCTGTAGAATCAAACTTTAAATAATTGTTTTCCCCGAACTAACGTGAATCCGTCTGCAGGCAAAGTTGCTATTAGTCTCTGCCACAATTGATAAAATCGCTTGGAGCGTATCAGGCCCAGTTCCAGAAAGCCAAAAAGGTCCAGTTGTGACTTCTTGTCGTTGGCTGTCGGGGCACCGCTTTCATTTAGAGCTCTGTGACGGCAGTTAAATATTTCGCGCAGTGTGGAAACCAGCTGATAAAATATAAATTCATTACAGGACTTCCTTGAAGGATTGTATTAATGGATCTTACCTCTCGCACACTGTCATCTGTGTCCAGTTTAAGACTGTTCAACAAAAGTCTTATAAGGTGAGGCAATGTCTACGGAAAGAGGCGGTTAAGAATGAGAAGGGTTATGGCTTTCAGATATTGTATACCGTGTCTGGACAGGCGCCACTTGTAGTGAACTCTAGAATGCGCAGGCGCAGCATGTCCTGGGTCTTGGCTGAGAGCGAAAGGTTACTCAATGTGTGCACGGTGGTCATATTGAAGAGCTCTTCGCTGCAGGAATAGTTTATACTGCCAAAGGAAAAGTGTAAGTTTGCATAAGATAATTATGTATGTTGACGTCAGCTTACAAGAGCAACTCGACAAATGCATCGTGCATGCTGGCATCCAGCACAAACTCAGCATTGTTTATAATATCCAATTTAGACGAGTCGGTGGCCCTGTTGAAGACAACCTCGATGCGCTTATAGATCTGCTCCTTGTGGGAAAGGGTCAGGTAGCGCATCTGGGCCAGCATCAGAGGCAGCAATGGCATTGGAATTGCACCCTGGCCCGTAATAACTTGGTCCGATGTGGCAACCTCTTCCATTCTGTCCAGGAGCACCTCCAGGCACGGATCCCGCATAAAATCGATCATTAAGAAGTTCATGAACATGCTGTTCTGCGACTGATAGATTTGCTCCTCTCCAGCTGCATCCACAGTGCAGCCAGTGAGTAGTTTCTGCGACAACTTGGACTTTGGCGCCATGGCAGTGTTGAGGCCTGACTTGAAGGTTTCCAGCTTGTCGGCATAGGACGGCGCACTCATGAACATATCTCGCAGCTTTGAAACTATGGAGACATGGTCGCAGGACAGCACAAGGGTGTCGCCCTGATCCAATTGCACCCCGGCTCGTATCAGGACGAGCTCGAAAAAGTTGTTTGGCTGCCGCGACAGGCTCAACTGGTTTCGGCTGGAGGACTGTGTGCGCCCCAGAGTTGCCGCCAGGATGGCACTATGCTGTGAAAGAAAGCGCTGCGTGTGCTCCTGGGAGGCCGGAATATTCTCCTCGCTGCCACTTGTAGTCGACGCCACAGATACATCCGTTATGTCGCCAGCTTCTTTGTCCGCAGGACGCTGCAAAAAAAAACATACTTGTGTTCACGAAAATTGTAACAATTTCCATTGTACTTACTGGTATCTTGATTGACTTATCTTCATCGATGCTAACCAGTGGCTTTTGGCCACGTTTCTTGTATTTGCGATACATAATTAATAATAAATCACGAAATTTAAGCCTAAACAACTAAAAACAAATTATGAATTGTAAGAGGCGCGGAATTCATGACCTTCAAAAATATACCAAGTACAAATATTCTCCTTTTAAAATTATACCATAAATATACCGAATCCCTAATAATTATCCTCAATTTTGAACATAAAATAGTTACCAATTTCTTTAAATATTATTTGCTTAAAATTCGAATAGACGATAGACCATCTCTGATAGATAACAAATTATATAGAAGACTGATTTATCAGTGGGATATAATTTCCACTAACCACTAACCATACTATTTGGTTAGTGACGGTACACAATGCTTTCTTTACATACTATACTTTTATGCATTGGCCCAGTTTATTTAAAACTTATTTCCTTCGAAATCCAATTAAAGAGAGGCCTTAGACGTAAACACCACTCTAAAAAATTAATTAATCTATTCGATAAAATTATATTTTTAGTCCTAAAAGTTCTGGCTAGCCAGTAATATATAACAGAATCTGAAGATCACACCTAAAAGTGTGGTCAAGACACACAACTGTCTGGGGTTCGCATAGCGCAGATTCAGTGGTGACGATTCGCTTGTATGAACTGACACATCTACATAATGTAAGGTTATTTTGCAAAACCACAAGATTGGTTAGTTTTTAAGACTTCCCATTATTGTATTGTTTACAAAACAAGGTTCAAACTAAGTGGTCAATGATATGTAAGGAAAGTAGTTAAAATACCCCTAAAATGGGTGCCTCACACAGTACCTCCTTAAAAACAAGCTAGAAGAAAAATGCTGGTTTTGCAACACTGTTACCCACTAGAATAATTAATGCTTGCCAACACAGAACAGCCGTTAAGGGCTGGTGTAAATTCAAATATTTATTCAAAACATTCGCTACATGATATATATAAAAGATTTATTGTTTTTAGATGTATATAGGTGTTCTTCATATGTGATAAGTATGTATCAAATGTTGTAACCATGTGTTCGCTTAATTGTAGGAGCCGGAAGCATGTTCCAAAAATTGCTAATCGTTTCTAGAAGCACATTAGTGCCTGCCTAATGGAAAAGTCCAACGTAATGTTATAATAATTACTTGTTTATAAACTTATTTATAATTTTAAAGCCTTCAATTTGAATTTTTAAACTGTGTGCTAACTTTGATAATTTTGAATATAATTCCTAGGTTAGATGCGTTGTCAACGTTTAAAAGTGCAAAAAACTCTATTGTGTCATGCATATGTATATCTGTATATAGATTATGGTACACATACACACTGTAATATGTATATGGTTTATAAAAAGGAAGTACAACATGTCTTGTCTTGAAGTGATTATGTCAGAAATTGACTTATGCCGAGATGATCGTATCTCTTTCGTACCTAATTCATAGAAAATCACTAATTTGGCGTTGTTTTCAGTATTGCTATTCAATTGAATCTCTTCTTGATGCCATTTTTCTATCACACCAATGCAGTCCAAAGCGGATAATATGCGATTCTCTCTCCGCGACCTCCACAATACTGTTCTCATGGGAACCCCAATTGGGTTGGTTTCCTTCGTGTAATTATAGTCCATGTTAAACATGAAATTATTGCTTTTTCGTACGCCTTCGCTTGAAGCCCGTCATCTGCTTTAGCAACTGTGAGTTTTCATCGTCCAGATCCATATTGGGCTCCCATAGGCGCAGTCGTCTGGGTATGTAAATCAGTCCCAAGAGTGTAATAGCTATACAACAGCAAAAAATGTAATTAGTAAACTTGAAGGAGAGCTGAATTAAAATATAATTACAATTCAGTACGCAGGGGAAGATCACGTAGAAGTTGAGTGTGCTTGAGCGAAAGTAGAGAGCCTCAGTGGCATAGAAGACCATGGTGAGGGCCAAAGAACAGCCGCCCATGCTGACGACCCTGTTTTACAAAAATAGAACATAATTATTTCCCCAGCCCCTTAGCAGCGCAACTTCAGTTAAGTCAGCTACTCACGGTCTGTAGTGTATGTAGAGGGTGCAGTGGACCAGTGCAATCGCCTTGAGCAGGCAGTACATGCCAATGATACGGGATATGGTGTAGTCCCCTGGAAACAGATCATAAACATTGCGAATTGATTTCTTGCGGCGGGGGTTACTCACCTTCGATGAACTGCGTGTCGCTGTGATCGCCCAGAAAGCTCCGCCGCTCGATATAACTACGAAATGCCGTGCCCAGGTCCATGAAGGCCACAAAGGCTATCCATCCACGGAAGGCATAGAGCAGACGCTCGCGTGGTCGTCCGCTGGCCATAGCAGCCCTAAAAATCATTATTTCACTTTTTAATATACAAATAATACGCCGACCAACATGAGAGAGGTAGCCCCCAACTGTAATGCCATAGCATTAGTCAGCCACGCCGGCTTATCTGCCACTAAAAATCATTTGCGGCAAGTTACGGAAGTCCTCAACTTAACCATCCGCCACATCCGACCAGCAAAGCAAACCCCACCCCCGCCCACTCTTGGCTAGTGCTGGCTGGCAAAATCGATATCACACCCAACGCGTGGCACGTTTATCATTTATGCAACGGCAAATATTTATACATAGCGTAATTCCTGGCTGCACGCGAGCACGTGGACCCCGAGTTTTGACCGGAACGGAACACACAGAGGGGGCCACAATCAGGTTATTTATTTTCAATCAACAAAGAGGCCGCTGCCGCCGGCAGGGTAAACCGAGCAACGCGATTAGGGCCCTCCCCGGACCGGGCCGGCATTCATAATTATAGGCCATCAGCCCCAAGAGCTCTTTTGCATTTTGCCCAAGACTCTATGTCTATGTTGGTGTGTATGTGTTCTGTTTATTTTTGTGACAAATTCTTGCTTACATTTTGCACGGGTTTCCAAACTAGCACACTCGAAACACTGGGCTCCGCACTCACGACGGATTACAGACGTAATACTAAAATAGACAAGTCTTTAATTATGTTTTGATATATCCTTTATACGCGTTGCAGCATTTCCTCTTTTATTGCTTTCATTCATTCACTTTTTTTTGCCGTACTGTCGGCTGCAAGGCCTCACCGTTCATTGAGAATGAGTCCGAAAGTTCCGTTCGTTGGTAGCCGGAAAGCTTCTTGCGTTGAGCTTTTAACAATCGGCGGCAGAGCTGTTATTTGTTGGGCATTTTCAAAAACGATTTATTTAGCAAAAAGTACAAAAGGAATTAACAATTTGGAAGGATGGATACGGGTACATAGTAACGCAGGGCTTGTCAAGTTCTATGGCTCTCTAGGGAATCATCGTCAGGAATAGATAGTTTCATTCCTTGCCAATGTTACCCTCAGTCTTTCGGTACTCGGCCCAGTCCACAAATCCATCGTTGTTCAGATCCATGGACTTGAGAACATAGTCGATGGTGTCCTCCAGTGCCTTGTCCGTGTACACGCTGCCAGTTTTGTGCTCATCGGGAGTCTCGCTCGCTTCCTCAGCGGGTTTCTTGCTACCATCTTCGACTGCAATGACAATGAATGTTAGGTTAAGCATTGAAACTAGATGGAGGGGGAAAGCGCTCACCGGAAACCGTTTCTAGCTATGGATTTAGAAAGCTACTGCCACTGAGGTTTAGATGTGGGGGTGGTATTGTGATTTGTATTTGAATTTTATTTACTAAATCTGGTTTTACTTACAAAGAATTGCATGCGTCTATATTTAGGTCTCAAATTGAAAAAAAAGAGTTTTCCATTTAGTTATAGTTTTAATTCGATTTTTTTGCGTGTTTTCTCTCTTTTTTTGTACAAAACAAACGTTCCACACAATCAGTCTGTTTTTTTGTTGCTGCTCTCAAGATGCGCTTAAAAATTAGTTCATATCGAAATTAACTAAAATTATGACGTAGGGAAAACACAATAAAACAAAGCAGTTAAAAAATTGCACAAACCACTTCAGAGATTCGTGTGGGCTATACGAAAATAGGGAATTTTTGTGTAAATTTCTTGGAAGGATTACAATGAGTTACAATTTGTTCAATGAAGTTTTCCGTGTGGAATGGAATGCTTGCAGCATGGTAAGTAGAATTTGCTTTGAGAAAGTGTCTAAAACTCTGCGCTAAAAACCGTTGACAATGTCGACGTAATTTCATGATGTTTTGGGCGAAAAAACAGGAGTATGTGTTGCACGTCACAGGACTTAAGACGAAGACAGAGTCAAGCTTGATTGGTGATTGCAAACTGAACGGATCGAACGGTGAACTATCTACTAATGAACCGGCTGCTGCTGCTGTTGTTGTTGTTGTTGTTGCTGCTGCTGCTGCTGCTGCTGTTGTTGTTGCTGCTGTTTTTCGGAGGCCTTCTGTTGAGCCTTGATGAACTCCGGGTAGTCTATGTAACCGTCACGCGAGGTATCGTCCATTTGCAGGATGGGATCAATGAGGGCCACCAGCTCCTCATCAGAGAAAACTTTCTCCTCGACGTGCGGCTTCTCACCGTTGGGCTGCTCCTTGCTGCCTTGCTCTGGAGTTCAGCGTTTAGGCAATGAGTGTTGTTATGTCATATGCAAGATGGATTAGGATGATGTTTGAGCATGACCACAACCAAAAACCAGAACACACCGGGGAAACAGCCGAATTAAGTTATTTTGTACGTGACGCATATGCAAAAAAAAGGTAAAACAAAACAAATGATATTGAACCGCAGACGCATATCAAAACACACAAAAAACCAGCATCCTCAAAGAAGAATCTTGTGATCTTACCGTGCCAATGGATCAGAGACTTGATCAGCTCACAGCCATCTAGCTTGTTGTTGTTGTCCGAGTCGTGCATCTTGAAGTAGTGGAACTGAAGCTCCGCCTCAGACATTTTGCTCGTATCAATGGGCACCTGCATGTGCTCCTGGATGTGACTAGAATGTGGAGAATAAACAGATAAACAACGTTATGACAATAATCGAGATAAGATAGCATGGAGGTCAAAGGCCCTAGCTGACTTACGCTCGCTCCTGCTGAATGTTGCCCGTGTTCAACACCTGCTGTGGCTGGCCGTGATGATGTCCACCCGCCTGCTGCTGGTGATGCACTTGTTGCTGCTGCTGCTGCTGCTGTTGGTGCTGCACGGGCTGCTGCATTTGTGGCTGCTGGTGGATGGGTTGTTGCTGCACAGGAACCTGCTGGTATTGCACAGGCTGCTGCGGCTGCACGGGCTCGTATTGCTGTGGAAGGGTTAACAGTCGATCAGTGTCCTTGGGGCCCTAGACTTGACTGCTACTCACATACTGTTGCGGGGGCACTCCAGGAGCGCCATGACCTTGCTGCTGGTACTGCGGGGGCGGTGGCGGCTGGTATTGTTGCGGCACCTGCTGGGGCACTTGTTGCTACACATACCAGAGAATCGGTTAATTAAACAACTAGCAGCTGCTTGCACAATATCAGCCAACTCACATAATGCTGGGGATTAACGCCGGGCGCCACACGCTGAGCGCTCGCCAGGCCGAGCACGCCGAGCAGCAGGACTGCTCTGAAATCTGGGAAATGCATCTGGTTGGAAGTGCTAGTTTCCAGCTAGGATTAGGATCAATTTCAGTCGGATTCCGTGGTTGCTAATCACCACGTCGCAAAGTCAAAACACACACGTACACAAAATCACCGCTTCTTCACCTTTTGCCATTCGCATCTGGGACAGCTGTTAACACCTTTGGCCATTCACAATGCACGTCAAAGTTGTAATAAAATGTTTGTGCAAATTTACCCTTTCCAGATGTTGTATTCTCTTATTTGTTTATAATTATTTGGTGTTAGTTTCAATTTATCCAAATCAAGTGTCAAATCAAATCAAATCTGAGATTTTATTATTTTGAGAAAGAGGAACATTTTTACAACCACTGGTCACACCAGTCAACTTATTATGAAAATCTTGTCGCACAGAACTATCGATGAAATAGTGCGGGAATATATGATATAACGACCTGAATCAACAAAGAAGGAGTACTAAAGTGGTGTGTCTTTCCCTAGAAATCATCACATGCATATTAATGTAGTCCGTTCAGCCCGGAATTAGATATATATTTTCGGTATATCTTACTAAATGAGTAGGTATATTTCGGTATATTTTTTAGGGCCAGACAGTATCTTCAATGGTTTAATCCGCGTTCATACTGGTTGCCTGTTTTGTTGTTTGATGGCTGCAGTTTTTAGATTTTATGGTAAAATTATAATAAATATTGAATCTGATACCTGTGTGCTGTTTGGGTGTTTACACGACTACGCAGTCGACATATAATAGCATGCCATTTACGTACCACTAGTGCTGGATCCGTGTGAGACACATCCGCGTCCGGAGAAATTCTGGTGTTTTCTCGACTATTAACTAATGCGTCATCGCAGCAACAACATAAAAATGTGCAATATTGTTGTTAAAAAACATTTTTAGCCGGCACACGCTTCAGAGCCGTGTCTACGTCAATCGTTTTCCATGTTTCGGGTTTCTTGTTTGATTAGAAAGTCGGCTTCAGCCACTGCTAATGAAAGAGCGCGGGGAGCAAGGGGCGCACGCAACAGTGGAAGATTTCACGTCAAGGCGAAACGCAGCGCAGCGCACCGCACCCCACCCCCGGCAGCAGCAGCAGCAGCTGTTGTAAGAGAGTCCGACTGCTGCTGCTATCCCTGTCTCTCTTGTTTGGTTTGCTTTGTTTTGACGCCGAAACATTTTCAATGGAAAATCCTCAAATTGCATCAACATTCACTATTTCACCATAAATTTACTTGGATTCCTCCCATTCCAGCCGCGCTTTGAATCATGGATTTCACCAGCGTGCTGGCAAAGAGCGAAGCGCATCAGCGCACCATTGTACACCTCGACATGGACTACTTTTACGCCCAGGTGGAGGAGATACGGAACCCCACGCTGCGCACAAAAGCCTTGGGCATACAGCAGAAGAGTATTGTGGTCACCTGCAACTATGTGGCGAGGGCTCAAGGCGTGCACAAGCTCATGCTCGTCGAGGACGCCCTGCAAGTGTGCCCGGATTTGGTCTTGGTCAATGGCGAAGACCTGACGCCATACCGTCTCATGTCGCAGAAGATCTTCGATTTGCTCCTCAACTACACTCCCATGGTGGAAAAGCTCGGATTCGATGAGAACTTTATGGATGTGTCGGCCCTGGTGGAACTGCGGCAAGCCCATGCCGCCGAGGCGCAACAAAAGCCGCCAGTTGGACACACCTATCCGGCCGATGGCACACTGTTGACCACCTGTTCCTGCGGCTGTGCCCAGCGCCTGGCCATTGGCACCCGCATTGCTCAGGAAATACGGGAGGAGCTGAAGCTGCGGCTGGGCATAACCTGTTGCGCCGGAATCTCCTACAACAAGCTATTGGCCAAACTGGTGGGCAGCAGCCACAAGCCCAACCAGCAGACCGTCCTGGTGTCCACATATGCGGAGCAGTTCATGAGGGAGCTATACGATCTGAAGCGTGTGACGGGTATTGGCCAGAAAACACAATGCCTGCTCCTCGAGGCGGGCATGTCTACGATTGAGCAGCTGCAGCAGTGTGACATGGATGTTATGCGCAAGAAGTTTGGCTTCGAGACAGCCACCAAGCTGAGGGACTTGGCATTTGGTCGCGACTCGAGTACGGTACGTCCCACCGGCAAGCCGAAAACCATTGGCATGGAGGACGCCTGCAAGCCCATATCAGTGTGCACAGATGTGGAGGAGCGTTTCCGCATGCTACTCATCAGGCTAATCGAACAGGTATGTTAATTAAGTATATACAACTATGAGATACAAAAACTGATGCACATTTTCCTTAGGTGGCAGAAGATGGACGCATACCGATTGCCATTAAAGTTGTGCTGAGGAAATATGATTCACAGAAGAAAAGCAGTCACCGTGAGACGAAGCAGGCAAACATTTTGCCTTCCCTGTTTAAGACCTCCATGTGCGCCGGCGAGATGGGAGTGTGCAAAGTGCAGCTGGCGGATGGGGCACAGGATAAGCTGCTGAAGATCGTAATGCGACTGTTTGAGCGCATTGTGGATCTAAATAAGCCATTCAATATCACCCTAATTGGATTGGCCTTCTCCAAGTTCCAAGAGCGCAAAGTTGGCTCCTCGTCCATAGCCAATTTCCTCATCAAGAAGGCAGATCTGGAGGTGCAGGCAATAACGTCGCTGACCAACACGAGTCTCACAAGTCCAACCGCAGAGAGTCCGACCTCCGATGAGACGGCATTCCGCTCCTCGCCGACCACCTTCAAGCCAAGTGATCAATTCTATAGGCGACGCGCCACCACAGCCTCGCCCATCCCCATGCTGCTGGATAATGGCTCTGAGTCGGCGGCAACCAATTCGGACGTTTCGGACTTCTCCGAAACCGAAGTGGAGCCATCGCCAAAGAAGAGCCGCATCGGTCGCATGCTGGTCTCGAAGCGCAGTCGCTTAGCGGTGGATGTGATGGACACCGCTGCCGATGTGGCGTCTCCCAGCAAGCTGCGTGTCTGTGATCTGCGTCTCAACTCTCGTGACAGCGAAAAGGATTTTCCCATGAGTCCCATTGCCAGCAGCTCCACTCCATCCACATCGGCTAGCGGATGCTCCTCGGTTGCTCCACGATTCCGGACAATTCAGCCGCCCAACACGCTTCTAAATCGGATTGACGGTAGCCTTTGCTTTATGGCCACGCGCACAGACCGTCGGATTAGCTCGAACGCCAGCTCGACAGCCTCGTCGCCACTGCCCTCACCCATGGATGATTCCATGAGCGCTCCCTGCACGCCGACCGCGACAGCATCCGATTCGCTGCCAGGGCCCAACAACAGCTGCACATCCAGCGAGGCCAGCGTGCACGACGCCAATGATGTTCTAACGGAGATCGCCTGCCCAGCTGGTGTCGATGCTGAAGTTTTCAAGGAGCTGCCTGTGGAGCTGCAAAACGAATTGATTGCTTCCTGGCGCAGTTCTCTGGTGGCAGCAGTGGAGCAGACAGCTGCGGCGGCGGCCACCACAACAGCGAATAGTGTGGCCACAGCCAGAGCGGGTGCACCAGCAACGGCCAGCGCTGGTGCACGGAATCGACCCGAGAAGAACACGCTGTATCGCTATTTTTTGAGAAATAAGTGATGCAGTGCATCTCCACGCATCACACATCGTTTCTAGTTGTAAAAGAATCAATTGAAAAATCCGTTTACATATTATATATTATATTTTTGTAGGTATACGGTTACATACATATAATTATTGTTACTTAATAGGGTGCTAAAATTGGACGAGCTTATGCTAGGATATATCCATCATCGTCGTCAATCAGTAAGATAAACACATGGAATACTCAGCGTAACAAACTAGTTGCTCGAGACTTTCACTAACACATGAAGAGATTATCAATATCTCATGAACATACGATGTATCCTAGCATCGGGCAGTCCGTGGCAGCTGAGAGCTTAGCGATTATACATACAAATTCATTGTTGCACATTTGCAATAGATTTATTACTTCATTTACAATTTCATTAACTTTATACATTATTCAATTGGTTTTGGTGTGTGTATGTGTTTGTGGCCTACTTACTCATAGATAATACAAAAGATCTGAATCTTGATCGGGAGCTAACATCTCTCCTCACGCGAAGGAACAATATTTTTAGCTAATTGAATGAAGGGGTAGGCGGGGGAGTGGGACACAAAAGTGTCTGAACGTCTGAGCCTGACTTGATACAAGTGAGATCTAAATACATAATGGATTTAGTTATTATATGTTTGTTTGTTGTTGTTTCACCTCCAAATGATGGCAACAAATGTTGAACAGTCGAAAATTGTCTTTTTATAATTTATACATACTAAACGACGCTTTCCAAAATAAAAGTGAAGTCCCTAAGTCAGTTTAAATGTGTGTTTGCCTGGGGGCGGCAGATGGGACACTCTCAATGGCTCAGCCAGCCGCATTTGATAAAGAACTTCCGCAGTGAGATTTCCATGGGGCTGCCCAACGATGGCGCACCACTCAGACAGACCGTTTTAAGGGAGAGGTAGGTGGTGGGTGTTATATTGAGTTTCTTGCACAAATCCTGCTCGTTGTGGGTCAGCAGATTGCTGCCCAGCGGCTGTGGCAGGTGTTTAAGCTCCTCTAGTTGAGTGCGCAATTTAAAGCTCATGCTGGGCACCGCCGGCTCCTCGGATGTGTTATAGCTTCCGCCGCTGCCTACGACCTCGCTTTGATGCAGTTGCTGGCTGTTTTTGGGCAGTGATAGATGCTGCAGCTGCTGCTGAAGTTGTGGGCTTCCCTTCGCTGATGTCGTTGGCAGATTCGCCTGCGCTGCCATCGTCGTAGCCGTGGAAATCGCTCCCGTCGTCGCTCCCGTTGTGACCGAGTCCAACGTCGTCCCCGTCCCCGTCCCTGTCACCATCTCCGTCCCAGTTGTTGTTGTCGGCAGCATCATCGTAGCTGCCGACGATACCCGACAGTTATCCAAGTAATTTCTGCTGGGCAATAATGCGCCGGAGCAGGTCGGGTCGACGGTGTGGTGCGTGTTTCTTGGTGCGATTGAACTTGAGCTTGCCTCGGCGCCGCTTGACATTTCGCTAATGAAGAACCAAACAGCGTTAAAGATGGTGAAAATGCGCTTACAAATCCACGGAAATACTTACGCCTTTCTGAGATTCGGTTGTGGGGAGAGCAAGGAAGAGCTTGGCGGCCGAAGATTTCCATTGGAGGGCTGCGTGAGGTCCTGTGGTTAAACATTGTCTTATACAACCATTCAAACGCTCGCTGTTTGGTGCGTTGATAATACAGAGGAGCTGAATATCGTGAGAACAAGACAGGAAAGCGATTGTAAGTTTTGGTACAGGATTGATACAAAGCAGCACACACGATATTCAACTCGTCATGCATTTTCATTAGACGAGCGCACACAACCAGGGAATTAAATTGTAACAATAGCAGCCTGCATTCAATATCTACGCTTAAGCTATGTGTAACATGTGTGTACATACAGAAATGTGGCCGCAACTGATTTCAATTGCATTCCCTGACAAGTTGTATGCCCATTAAGCGGGCTCGCACTTACAGTCTTGCCATGACCATAGGGTCCTGTTGATCGGTGTGATGCCATTGCCGCATGCTGCTCGAAGTGAACACATTCATCGATTTTGGTGAGACCATTGTAGCGATAGCGATACAGCTCCGACTGCCGGATCCGCAGCTCCTTCTCGCGCTCCAGGGAGGCCAGCAGACGCTCGTACTCGTTGCAAGTGTAGAACTGAGCGTAGACACGAAACCGATCCCGAAACTCCTTCTGCTCCTTGGTGAGGCCTTGGTGCAAGGCATAGTTGCGGTTGCGGAAGAAATTTGAGACCAGCTGATAGTCGCGCACCATTCGCTTGCGGCGGGCACGCTCGCGAAGACGTCGCGTGTAAATGTCCACATGAGCCAGCTTCAACATAACATCCACCTCGGTGTCCTCTGAACTGAGCGTAATGTTGGAGATCAGCTGCTCGGCTGTGGGATCGTACTCGCGCTCAAAGCTGTCCCTGTTGGGCATGTAGCCCAGCTGCATCGCCTCATCGGAGTTGATCTCTAGAGGTGGCAGACTGGCCATGGCACTGGAGCCCAGCGAACCACCGTCATCATCGCCTGTGTGGTCGATGAGACGCGGACGCTGCGACTGGGCCGGCGTCCAAGTGGCTCGGCCTATTGTGCCATTGACGAATTTATTTACATACTCCTCTTTGGCATCTTCCGCCGACTTGGTCTCAATGTGTTTGCTGATGTCCTCCCAGTTGCCGAAGCCGTACTGTTCGATGGCATCCAGCAGACGAATCTCCTCGCGGGCCGTCCAGGCTCCCTTGCCACGGAACACACTCAGTATGGAGGTGCCAGTGTCCATGAACTGATAGGCATGATTGTTCTGATGTGCTCCGATCTCTGCACCAGACGCGAAGCACTACAACAAAATTGAAACGTAAATACCTGCTGCGCATTCAGTAAACAGCTGTTATTCGCAAATAACATTGCGAAATCGCCGGCCCGACTATATGTGCACTTATGAATGTATGAGTGTACTATGAACTTTAGCATGAGTCAGTTTTAACAGTTCCAGAGCGTTCAAGTTAACAGAGGCATCACTATAGTACGTGTATCGATGTGGGCCTGTACATTTACTGTACACTGTATGTATGTATGCATATGGGTGTGTTTTACTTACTTGCAGGCACAAATCGAAATTTTCACACTCTGCACAATGCACACGGATACCCTGGATGTCGTCCTGGCAATTTGTGCAATTATATTTAGTAAATAAATCTGCAATCGTGGTCATTATGGATTGAAAAGTCCACTTTTCCACTTAAACTAGGGTTGTCACACATATATCAAAATATCGATATTTTTTCTAAATAAAAGAATATTTATATCGTGATATTTGTTTTGCCAAAATATCAATATATTCATACTTCTTTGCGATATTTTATTATTGGGAGGGCTATTGTAATGCACAGAAGGATATGTTTCCGACCCCATAGAGTATATATATTCTTGATCAACATCAATAGCACAGTCATCATGTTTGTCGGCTAGTACTCAGAGACTATAAGAACTGGAGCAACCGAATTTTGCTACCAGACTGCTGTGATATCACACTGATACAAGTGTATGTATGAAGCGTCTCACACGCCCTATTCGTTTAACTCTCGAAACTGGGTTTTTCTCGACTTTACATCGCATTTGTATGTTGGTGCGTTGACTGTATGGTTAGTGGTTTGGTCCCAAGTACCACGAAAGCCAACGGAATAGACCTCCGAAAAGAATTTTTTCTCAGAGTTTTCTACAAAAATAGGAAAGTTCATTATATCATTTTGATATATTTTCAAAACAAAATATATCACCGATATGATATTTTTTAAGTATTTGTCAACCCTAACATAAACAGTGTGACCGCGGAACTATCGATAAAATATACCATCAGACCCTCGGAAATATACCAAAATATACCCTTCATTTTCAAAATATACTGTAAATATATCGTAAATCTAAAATCAGTTTCCTCGATTTTGATGTTATGAGTTTCTGGTCCCAAAACTCAAATCAGATTTATCAATCACTTCTCCACAAAATTGGCTTTTTGTTTTTGAATTGTTTCCAAATTAAGTTTAAAACTAGAAAGGCCTTTATTTTTATTTTTTATTCACTTTGTATTCCTGAATGGGAGCAACGATCATAAGATGTTCCGGCTCGACATTGCGCATCATAAACATCATCCACTCTTCTTCTAGGGTGGCCAAAGCCATCACAAAAGTGCAGTCGTCTGTGTATTCCCCATTGAACACATAAGTAGCATGGGAGCGCCGGCCTACAAATATCAAGAAAATAATAGGTAGTAACCGAACGCTTCGACTGGATGGCATTCTGCTGCTATCTTCAATATGGCAGAGTCCTTGTCAGGGTTGCGAAGATTCTTGCACTCCACATCGGCAGCAGGCTTACGTTTCGAAATGTCTGCAACTATCACGGCAGCTGGGTCAACTGGGTCAACGATAGCAATATCGAGGAATATATTCTGTTCAATCGATTCCTGTTTGGGTTGCTCACAGCAGATTGAGAATGGCAAGTAGCCTTGCAGCATGCCCAAAACTGAGCACACGCCGTCAATATTTAGCGCCGACATTTTCTATTTTGTATGCTTCCTATGCCTGGGAGTTGTGTTCATCTCGGATGTAGAAAAAATTCCTACTTTCCGAGGCATCCTTCTGTTGCCTTACGTCTACATTTCACTACTATATATTTTGTTGAACTCTTACACACGACGACACTTTAAACAAAGCATCATATTGTTTAAATTATACGGAAAAAAAAAACGTAACAAACTTGGAATTGGAATGCTTGAAAAATAAGGATTAACAAACAACTTAACTTTATTCCAAACGTGGAACCCACCACGTAAACAGAACAAACATCGAAATCCAACACTATTTGCAAAAACTTGTGGTTCATATGAACGAGCTATTGCTTCAAACCTTTTATAATAATAATATATACCATTATTAGTTTTGGATCACTATTTTAACCATGGCATGGCTCTCCATATGTCTGTACACTGTCAAACTACTTCCTCACCAGTTCAAAATGTTCCCAGAAACCCAGATGTGGTGCCAGTTATTTCAATTAAAAAACGTTTCTTTTACAGCATCAAGTGGTGTATGCTTTAAATATTGATAGTTGTTTATTAATTAATTTCAAAAGTTTAATTCGAGTGTTTTTTTGCCTTTTCTTTAAGTTGATTTTTTACGCTAATATCACAAAAATAATATATAAAACTAAAAATATATATGAGAAATCGTTAATATCAAACCGAAACCAGTGAAATAATAAATACATTTGCGATGCATGTATATAGATAGATATAAATATGTTAAACACCGATCGTGTAGGACTTATAGATCAAATAAGATTCAAAACGCGAAAAGTGCTTCAAATGCAAATCGTTACATAAACATAAAACGGTGGTCAAGGATCATAGAACTTAGGGTACAATTTAAGAACATAATTAATTCTTTTGTTTCAAACAAAATGTTGGAAAACTCATTAAATCGTTTAAACAATATCTTGATGCTTACTTCTACACATGAATTGTATTTGGCGTGGGATTAGTACAAGCCTGGACATGATTACCGAGATATTGTAGTGGGGATTACAATGTTTGGTGGCTAGGAGAGGGGGTTTGGGAGAGGCTAAGGCTACGCTATATAAATAGTTGATTAATCGATTATTTTATAATTATGTATTGTATGCTTGAATATGCTTCGATTATGGTTAAATATTGCTGTCTTATTCCGAGCAGTAGCCGATTTCGTAAGGGAGGAGAGAGGACTGGACACTGGACTGGACTAGTTTGTGGCTTTGGTATGTTGCTAGTTTGCTTGGACCAATGGAAAAACAAAACAAGTTACACAATAAAAAAACAATAAGCAAATCTTAAAAAGATATGGCAAGGTTTTTGTGCAGCTGCGTTTTTGAAACACGCACACGGCCAACAAAACTCAATTATTCAATTCGAGTACCTACAAATCTCTAAATAAGTCTATTTGAGCTCCAAATTCGGGTTGGGTGTCGCACCTGCTTCAGTGGTGTGTGTGTGTTTGGGTGTGGGTAAAGAGAGGTCAATACTGTTTAAGAACATTCAAGGCTCGAGATTCGCGATTCGCTAGCGGGCGGCGGTAGACTGCACCTCACAATTTTCACAGATAAGTTTTCAATTCGAATTTGCTTGCATAAGGAACTAAGGAGCACAACCCTTCACATCGCAGGCGCGACACTAGTCGTCATAAGCGATCGCGTTCACAAGCGGGAACACGATCACAGCGACCGACAACTGGCCATCTTTTTGGGCCGCCTGCTCGTCAGCTGTCGCTGGCCAGTAATGAAACTCATAAGCAAGCGACCACGGCCGGGCTCTGAAAATATACGTTGGGGTGTCCTAAAGCATAACTATTAACTAATTTGGTATGTAAAGTCTTTCTGTCTTTGTCTACAACTTGAAGAAATGGAGAGATGTGATTCTGTGGCGTCCACTGGCCTACACCAACTAGCAACAAAACCATCATCAAAATACCAGCCGAAAACTCAAACTCAGCAGTTCCGTACTCACATGAATGACGGGAGCGAGAACAGGGGCGGGGGCGGGACTGGGATTCGGTGGCTTTAAGTTTGCTCAGTTGTTCGTCTTTATCATATTCTCGATCCTCCTCTTGTTGTGCTGCTAGGGATAAGGAAGCATCTAAACGTTGGCTAAGTTGGGCAGATGATGCTGGGGTAGAAGCCTGGACTAATCGGCCAGACTTGGCATTGGCGTTGGCATTAGCATGGGCATAGGAATGGGCGTTCGTTCGGGTCATTCCAATATGCAGCTGAGTGCATAAACTGTGTTCAGAATCGGAATCGGTGTCGCTGTTGTGTTTAAAGATCAGTGTCGCGGGTGCGTATAAATTACTTGGATGTGGATTAATTTGCTTTTTGATAAAATACTTGAAGAGAGTTTTGTTCATCTTTAGTTACGGTTGAATCTGCTTCTTGGGTTTTTTTAACTCAGCATCTTCGTCACGCTTGATCTCGGTGTAGCGTTCACCCTTCAACGATACAATCTTGTTGTCCCGATAGCGAACCAACTTGCGCGGCTCCATTTTGGGCACCACCGGCTTGTACTCCCGCTGAGTGGCGTTCTTATCCACATACGAGTACCTGAACAAACACACACGAATAACATGGCTCCGAATTGTCTGTCTGAGAGTAACTCACCTGGCAATGATGCGATTCTTCAGCTCGTTATCATCCACGACAACGTTCTTCTTGATAATCATGGTGTGCGACTTATCGGTCAGGCTCTGATTGGTCTCTTGGCGATGCAATAGGATCTGAGTGGCACTGTCTATATCGCCCTTGGATATGGCAATGCAATGCTTGATCTAAACACAAATTCGGGTTTGTTATGGCCTCACTCAGAATAGTATTAGTGACGTGACCCAACTGACCTCAACATAGGCTGCGTCGGGAAACATTTCCTGCAGAGCTTCGGCCTCATCGAAAAAGTAGTCGCAATTGGAGCTGGAACTATCAGTGGAGCCACCATCGCTTGTCTCGGACAAGTGCTGAGAACGCTTGCCGTGGCTGCCGCCGCTGCTGCTGTTGTTCGAGGAGAGCTCGTCCTTCTCCGAAATTGATGAGTTGCGAGCCCGCAGCCTGGACTCCGGTATAATATTCGATAGGCTCAATAAGCTGCAGAGTATTCGAAACAGTAATAATATAAATAAAAGCTAACAACAGGCCGATTAGAGCACTTACTTGAGCGACAAGTCGACAGCGTCATGGTTGCCTTGGTTCTTCTCCATCTCTGTCAACTCGTTGGCCAGCTTGTAGATCCAATCGCAAATGACGCCTTGGTCAATGGTCGGGAACTCCTCGAAATAGGCGCCCATCATCTCGACAAAGCCCTCCACATCGAAACAAGGATCCTGCGAGGCCTCCTCCAGTATTGAGATTATGTAGGAGAGCACAATCTCATCAACAACTCGGAAGTCGGCGCCAGGTATATGGCCACTGATGAACTCCACCAGGCTGTGCTTCACCATCTCGTGCTGCTTCTCCAGATTGGTCATCCTTGTGCGTTTCTAGAAAAATCTGTGTATCGGCGAATTTGTTCGTTTCGGTTGTCGGTCGGGTGTTCGCAGGAACGAACAAGATCACGACAAGAAGCTTGCACGAAAATTCCAAACTCAAAGTAATTTGAGTCCGTCAATAGTTAGGGAATGTCCACTTATGCTCCGAACACGAAATTTTACCACAGCTCTGAAGGAAAATTGGATTTAAATAAATGGGTTCGTTTCGATTTTGCTGCGCCTTTCTTTCTGCTTCTTCCCAATCAATAATACATAGAGATGGTAAATGTATATCGATATATATTTGGATTAATGTATATTTGTAGGTGTTATTATTTTGGACTGGCGAAAATGGTAAAATAGATAGAATCTCTAAATTACTTTTCCTAATTCTATACAAAAACGGCATTATTATCTGGTGTTTCACGCTCTGACATGAGACTACTTTGAACGTACGTATGGTCGTATGACACTACACCTACACGACAGAGATGGGGTCAGACCAAACATTACTATGCTGGATTTGCCATCATATGTCTGATAAAACAATTTAATCATAAACATTAAAGCTGAACATTTTTGCAGCAAATACTTATCTCGCTCGCATGGCATGCTTTTCCCGTAAGCTAATGAATCTCTCTCTTTCAAATAAAGTAGCTAGTAGTGTCATACGACCACTATCGATGCACAGCGTAGCTGGCGCTACAATATCGGTACTTTTGTGCGATAAAAGAAAGTTGTGTTCGGCGGTAACACGCAATTACTTTGAAGACGACAACCAATTATACCGACATCCAATTACGTGAAGATATAGAAGTAACTCTGTATAATTAATTATTTAATGTGTTGTTTTATTGACCATGTGCCAGAAAATATAACATGTTATATTTTTTTTACATTTTTGTAGCATTTTCTTGCTAGTTCCACAAAAGTTTTAAAATACAATAACAATTCGAAATCTGAGCTAATGTTTATCAAACACGCTGGGCTCGCCGGAGCCCGCACCCGCCGGTCCGGATCCGGCAACCGCAGCACTGATTTCCTCAAGAAGTTCATTCGACGAGTGGTGACGATTTTGAATGGGATTTGGGTATAAAACATTTTCGTTGTTGTTATTTCCTCTGTTGCGGGAGCTGCCACTGTCGCTGGTTTCCAGTTCGGCACGATTCGCATTGAAGTCTGTGCCGGAGCCATAGACCCGACTCAGCAACGATCGCTGCAGCTGTGCCAGGCAGCTGAAAATATTCCCAGAACCCAGAGCGTTAGCAGAACTTCACGAAGTGAAAGAAGAACTCACCGTTCTAGTCTGCGCTCACTGCTCCAGTCCTGGACGGCATAGAGATCTGAGAAAGCCAATTCGTTGGCACGATGGAAGTGTCCATTGCCCAGAAGAGTCGACGGAGTTAGGGCCCGCTTGCCATTGGTCCAGCCGCGGGAGTACTGAAACGTCTGCCCCATGCAGGCCATGGAGAGGGTGAAAAGGAACAGGGGCAGCAGCAGGAGACGCATCATGTTTCTGGAAAATTGTTGATTGATATTAACCCAGTTATTTGTGTGGTATGTGAAGTATTCTTACCAGTTCAAACCACACACGACGAGGTCTGAGCACCGTCTGAGTATGTGAGGGTCCTGCCAGGTCTTTTATATTGATGCCATCAAAGAGCAGAGCAGAGTTCTTCCAAGGATGTGGCGTGGCAGTAATTCGTGCACCACTGCCTTCCAGGCATATTCACACGCTCTCACTTATGCAGATTAACTGGGATTATTAGCACCCAATTGTTTTAAGGCAGTGGTTAACACCCACATAAAGTGCGGCACCAGGGCCCCCAACCCACGCCCACGCCCACTATGCCACTACCCTCCAGATGGCTGCCCAAGCTGAATGCATTTGCTGATTGGAAAACTACCACACCACTTGTTGAAAGGCTCCTTTGCCGTGCCGTGGCAGAAATGAAACTAAAATTGCTACCCAAAAAAAGCAATTTGTGGCCACTGCCGCAGGGGGTTGGATGGAAGCTGTGACTTGGGGTAAAACCTTAAGCCAGTCTGTTATCAGTGATTTACGAAAATAAACATCTTTATAAATATACAAAAATAGACAAAAATATACACATGCAACACGGTGGCTGGGGTTTTAATTGATTCAAAGACTAGTAATCTCGCTGTCGGGTGCATGGCCATTTCTCTCCAGCTCCACGGCATCCTTTACCTGATTCGCCTTTCGACGTCTCAGGATGAAGTAGCACAAGCTAAAGTTAAGGGGAAATAATAAATTCAATGATTTATAGTTAGGCTACAGCTAAGCACTTACACAAAGACCAACACATTGGGTATGTAGAAGATTTCGCCAAATAGAAAAATTGCACCTGGGAAGGAGTCGACGGTTCTCTTGTAAATCTCACTAAAGATGGGCGGAAAGATGAACTGTGCAATGGGTTCGCTGATGCCAAAGATGGAATACATTTTGCCTATACAAAAGTAAATAATTAATATGCATTTCGGGAGCGACTTTCATCAACTAACTTAGCTCATCGCCATCCACGATGCTGGAGCCAATTGTCTTGATGGCAATCACCCGCAGACTGACGAACATGTCCACCACTCCAGCCACGTAAAAGGAGGAAGTAGTGCTGGCAAAGGCCTGAACCAATCACAAATAAATCATCAGAGGATTATCAATAGTTGTGACCGCAATAAATACTCACAAAAAGCACACGGGAACACACAATGGAGAGGGCAGAGAGCATGCCAATCATGGAGTCCGATACTTTGAGCAATTTACTGAGAATTGCTGTGCCAATGAAAGTGCCCACCAGGGCAGCTCCACTCGAGAGAGTCAGGTAAATGCTGAAATCGTTACCATTCCAGGAGAGTTTTTTCAACGTGAACCGATACCAGTAGTCGTTCTCGCCCGAGGTGGGTCCCACCGTCAAGAAGTACGCCCACAGAAGGAGTACGAGCAGCAGGCGCCCATTGTTGGGCCGCTTAATCAGCGGAAACTTGAGACAGTCCATCACCAGCGTGGGATCAAAGAGTTCCTTCAGGAAGGAACGCCTGGCTGGAACCACCTCCACCTTTGGCTCCATTTGTGGTGTTAGCTGAAAGTTTACATTCTTGTTCACTTGATGATGAAGCTCATCCAGGTTGGTCGTCTCATAGGCCATGTTTTCCATGCCCTGCTTGGGTGGCAGCGTCGTCGGCAAGGGTGGTGGCTCATTCGGGGTTGCTTTTGGTGTGGTTTTTATTTCCTTTATAAAAAAGATGATGTAAAGGATGGCAATTATCTGAAACGCAATGGCCGATGCAAAGGAAACTGAAATCAGGGATCGTTAATAATTAATTGTTTTATTATTTTGTTTCTTTATGCTGTACTCACGTGTATAGCCCAAGGTTTGAAAGAGCAGACCACTAATGGGTTGACCTATAAATGGCACACCCGTGACAAACATGGCAAAGATGCCGAACCTAAACACACGATCCTCTTCGGGTGTGGCTATGGTGATGTAACTGTAGATTGCCATCAAACAGAAGGTCAGTCCACCAAACAATGCCGGCACAATGGCCTCACAGTATGCTCCAAATTCCATGGGCAGCGAGTCAAAGAATATCGCAGAGATGAACTGACCTACACAGAAACAAAGTTGAGGTTGGTACTTTGTATGTTTGGATTTAGTTTGGATACTTACAGCCAAAGGACAAGGCCTCGCCAATGATGGGCAATATCATGCATGGTTTACGTTTGTTGTACCGATCCGCCCAACCTCCAGCGAAGAGCAGAACAATCAGTGGGAAAATGGCAGCTAATCGGATACAAATATATAATAATAAAAGTGCCCAAGTTTACATACGAATTTAAATAAATTAACACATTTTGTAGCCTGAACTTAATCATGTTTCAAGATAACAACAATCTTAGCCCCCATTCCAGATGTCAAGTGATAGCTGTGTGACATTTGTTTGAACATGAGATGAGATAAAGCTGAGTAATATGCTCAAAAATGCCTCAATGTAATGCCAGTGAAATCTCAATTAGTATTTCAAGAACGCTTCTACTAGCCCACTCCCCTCCCCACCAGTGCTGAGGCAATGCATTTTAATAGTTTTGATGTGTCTTTAATTTAGATAAAGTAAATGTTTCCCTCCCGCATCGCAGAACCGCAAAACCGGAATACCGCCGAGAAGCTTCATGTAAATGACATATTTGGTTGCGCCTGTATATAGAAATATTTCGATAATAAAATGTTTGTAGACAGCGCAGAGGAAATTCCATCCATGGCAATGGCAATGGCAATGGCAGTGAACCCACAAAAGTTGTAAAGAACAGGTTTCAAAATTTCTTACGATAGTCGCTGGCTTTAAATTAATCACCCAATGATATAATGAGGGAGAAAAACGCACGAGGGAATCAATTAAAGGCTGTAATTAGATGTTTGGTTAACCGCTAATTTCCGACGACATCCATCAAAGTGAAGAAGCAAAAGAATCGACCTTTGTTTGTGAATTCCAAAGGGGTAGTTAGGTGAGATTTAATATGCAGAGGCGAAGAATTTCGTGTATTTCTGGAAACTGGAAACTTGAAATTTCAGCATTGCTAATGGCAAACGCCAGAACGTGTATATGGTAGAATGAACGAATCGTGTTATGAGAAATTTATGATTGGTTTATAAATACAAAAAATCGCACCAATCGGGGCACGTTTGCCCGAGACATCGGCGGCAAGGATTTGCGCTTCAAGTTCCGCCTTGCAAACGGTATAGTTAAAGCCCGGTGCACCGATGACCAGTCCCATCAGATCGGCAGTAGCCCCCGTGGTGGTGTTTTCAAAGCTAAAGTCATCACACTCGATGCCCAGCTCCGATTTGTCCAGCATGGTGTCGCAGACGATTTTGTTGTAGCCAAGATTGACACGGCAGGCCTTATCGAGGGGGAAATTTTGCATGGCCACGGAATTGAAGACGGATGCCATGAAGTAGAAGAAAAAGAACGGCTCAATGACCAGATATTTGCGATACGCCCAAAGCTTCTGGAAGTAGTTCAGCTTGGGCTCCTCCACAGCAGGAGGCGAGTCCCCGGATGACCTTGGTTTAGCCATCTTAAAGCACGCCGAATAGTGTGTTCCCAATTCGAGTTATATTCGTTGGAGTATTCTTAGCACATTTCTGCGATTTAATCAACACGTCGCGCCAAGTTCTAAACACAAACTAAACTTAACGACGGGTCCGGGGACTGGGCCAGGCCAGGTCCGAGCAGCAGCCGCTTGATACGCACAAGAAACTTGTTCAATCATTTCTTCTTTTAGGTTTTGTGTTTGTCAGCTTCGATTAGAGCCGAACAATGATATATATGAAGAATTGTCATTTCGAACGAAGAGCTGCGGAATTTGCATGCTCTCCCTCTCCCTCTCTCTCTCTCAACGTAAGCAAGCCAAAAGAGCAGCAGCAATTAATTTGTTTTTTTTTTCACGTCTGTTGCTGTTGCTGGTTCTGATATTGGTGTTCCAATGACCAGCAATCAAGTATTGAGCGCCTGCCTGAGACATTATTGCGGCGGCTTGGAGCACTCAATGTCAATGCTGGCGCGCGTCTAGACCGGCCCAACGTTTACTGTATACTATAGGTATGATATATAGAAAAGTGTTATTTATATTTGTAAGTATTTTCTATTAACTACAATGATAGGTCGCATCAGCTGTGTCTACTCTGTCCAGCGGTGAGTGCAGTTTTGATTGGTGCAAACATAGTACAGTCGCATCTCCTCCTCGGCACGCCGCGTCTGGGCCTGGAAGAAGACCGCCTCCCGATGCGAACACTTTGGGCAGGCATGGTCCTCGGTGCGCGGCAGTGTGGGATCTGAGATGACGTCGGGCACAATGTGGGTCAGTTCATCGATTTCGTGCATAATTTTGTTCACGTATATACAATTGGAGTCGGCCTCCTGCTTGTAGTCACAATTTCGGCACGCATAGAGCAAAATTTTGTTCTCCTTGTCCTCCTTGGGGTACAACATGTTGTTGCACTCCTGGCAGAACCGAATGCCGACGAAACCGGGGCCCTCGGTGTGCGATGCGTCGAACGCAGTGGTCATTAGGTCTACGTCAGTACAACACTTTATTATTTGCATTTTGAAACAATATTTTCTAATATTTACCTGATTTCATGAAAATGCTGGTTCTTGTAAAAACGATTGTCTGACGCTGCCCAACACCACACTCGATAGTCTACGGTGCTGCCAGACCAGTGGGAAGTGACGTGCAACCCTGATTCTCCACGCAAAAAGTAAACAGTTTGTAGATTTCGTCAGAACGGCAGCACCGATTGTGATCACCGATAGACGATAGATGTAACCTGTACAACACGGCTTGTCGTGCTGGAATTTTGAAGCACAGAGTTAGGTAAATTTTGATTATATTGTCGTTTAAGTGATACAAATCCAGCAAATTCGATCTTGCAATTAAGTCGTTCCGGTTTTTCTCGTGAAGTGGCGCAGTTTAGGCGCACCGAAGTGGCATAGCATTGCATTGTGACATTGTGAACGCGATCGCTCTCGCCCCTACTTTCTTTCGTCGGGGACAGAACAGATACAGTTAGTGTGAGACACCGCCGGGGCGGAAGGAGTTTTCGGCCCGCATCAGATCCCTCGGTGCCGCCCGGCAGAGTAGAAAACAATATTGAAAAGTATGCAACAAATTTCAATATCTATTAGAATTGTTTTCATCCCCTTAAATATATATTTTTCGTACAAAGACGCGTAAAAGAGCGAGGAGCGAGACTTGTTGCGTCTGCTGCTGTGCGTCAGCACTAGTGTGCTCTCGCTCGCTCTCCCCCAGCCACATCGCTCTCCAGCGATCAAATGAGGGGCCGCCATTTTTCTTCGTGAGCTGCTTATAGGCGTTGCTGACGCTGGCAAAAAAAGCAAATTAAATTAAATCACGGGCCCAAAAGTAGGCTAGTCATGGATCAGCGGGTCCTTGATATATTTTTCAACACTTTCTTTAAATAGATCCTCTTTCCATAGATCCACCTAGCGAGAAGGCCAGCCAGCATGAGCGCCGCCGCCAAGGAGGGAAGAAAGACAGATGGCTCCTCCGAAAGGGGCAGCAGGTCTAGCACAACTGTAGTGAAAATAATTGGCGTGGACAAACTATGCTTGCCCAGAGTCAAGGGCCCGACGACGCGCATGAAGCTGCTGAACGATGTCGCCGCTTCTGGCAAGCCGGAGAAACGTGGGAGCCTTGGCGGTGCTCGCATTAAAATTCTCAATGAGGACGCTTTGTGCTCCCCGAAAGCCGACAAACGCAGCCCTCAAAAGACAGTCAGTCCCTCGGGCTCTGTGAAGATATTAAACGAGAAGCGCCTGGCTCCATCCACTGCGACGGCTGTGGAGACGACAAAGATCAAGACGTCCCCCACCAAACAGAAGAAGAAGATGGATCATTATGTGCTGCAGGCCGTCAAGGCCGAGAACAGCAAGGCAGACACCACAGCCAGTGTATCGGAGGAGGACGAGAGCATTGCTTTCATCCTTGCCGATGAAGATGAGGCAGAACCAGTGGCGGGTCGAGCCAATGGCGAAGAGATTGTAGTTTCAAGTCCAGAAGAGGACAATGAAGACGATGACGATGGTGAGGGCGATGCCGCTGTTGAGCGCACCGGTGGCAGCCAAGGAGCCATAAAGGAAATGGTTGAACATGTTTGCGGCAAGTGCTACAAGACATTCCGCCGTGTGAAGAGCCTTAAGAAGCACTTGGAATTCTGTCGCTATGACAGTGGCTATCATTTGCGCAAGGCGGACATGCTGAAGAACTTGGAGAAGATTGAAAAGGATGCTGTGGTGATGGAGAAAAAGGACATTTGCTTCTGCTGCAGCGAGAGCTACGACACCTTTCATGTTAGTAATTCAGCCGTACCAATGGGGATTCCATATATAAATAACTAATTTATCTTCCTCCTGCAGTTGGGCCACATCAATTGCCCCGATTGTCCAAAGTCATTCAAAACGCAGACCAGCTATGAACGTCACATCTTCATCACGCACTCGGAATTCAATACTTATCCCTGTTCCATTTGCAATGCAAATTTGCGCAGCGCCGCATTGCTGACGCTTCACGAGGAGCAGCACAAGTCACGTGGCAAGCCATATGCCTGTAAAATCTGCGGCAAGGACTTTACACGCTCCTATCACCTGAAGCGTCACCAGAAGTATTCCTCTTGCTCTGCCAATGAGAACGATACCATGAGCTGTAAGGTGTGCGATCGTGTCTTCTATCGCCTCGACAATCTGCGCTCGCATCTGAAGCAACATTTGGGCACTCAAGTGGTGAAGAAACCAGAGTACATGTGCCACACCTGCAAGAACTGCTTCTACAGCCTGTCAACGCTTAAGTGAGTAGATTGCTTTATTTGATTCCATTATTCCTTTAATGGTTTTGTCTTTGATCTTGCAGCATACACATACGCACCCACACTGGGGAGAAGCCATTCGATTGCGATCTGTGTGACAAGAAGTTCTCGGCCTTGGTGGCTCTCAAGAAACATCGACGCTACCACACCGGCGAGAAGCCCTACAGCTGCACAGTGGTAAGTGCCGGAAATTACTGCAAACCCTTCAACATTACTTCCAATTCCAATTTATCTTTTAGTGCAATCAATCCTTTGCTGTGAAGGAGGTGCTCAATCGCCACATGAAGCGACACACCGGAGAGCGTCCGCACAAGTGCAACGAGTGTGGCAAGAGCTTCATCCAGGCCACCCAGTTGCGCACCCATTCCAAAACCCACATACGTCCCTATGCCTGCGATTTGTGTGATGAAAAATTCAAGACAGAAAAGCAGTAAGTTCTCCCTGTAATCGGACTAAAAGATCACTATTAATTATGGCTTTGCAAACCAGACTCGAGCGCCACGTTAAGGAGCACACGCGGCAGAAGCGCGCCTCTTTCGCTTGCACTGATTGCAAGCGTACCTTCCGCACCACAGCTCTACTTAAGGAGCACATGGATGCCGGCGATCATTCGCGTAAGCTATCAGCTCCTTTAAAACGACTTTCCCATCTAATCTCTTCACTGCCTTTATAGCCAAACCACAACGAGCCAAGCGCTCAATCACCAAGGTTATCGAGCGCACAGACTGCGCCATTTGTGACAAGAACTTCGACAGCACCGAGACCTTGCGCAAGCATATTCGCTGCGTTCACGAATGCGATCCGGATGATATCTTTGGCGTCGAACCGCCAGCAGCAAAGCGCAGCAAGTCGAAAAAATCTGCCGAAGAAGAGGAGGATACTGAAATCGTTGATCTGAATGCATCGGCGGGTTCGCTGATTTCCAGCCAAACCGATGGCAATGGAGTTGTGGTCAGGGAGTTTCTGGTCGACGATGGCAGTGCCCAGACCATCTTGCTGGAGAACGAGACATACACAATTCTGCCCCTGGATGATGGGGGCACCAGCAGCGACCAACAGGTGCCCACTAAAGGGGCGGACAGTGTCAAGCCGGAGGCCAACAAAAGCGAGACCAAGAAAGCTGCTGTTTCCCCGGTGGTCAAGAAGGAGCAGCGAAAATCACTGGCGGCCAGCTTGGCCGCAGCCATTGCCGATAATATGGAGGAGCCGACCAGTGAGGATGATTTTAGCGGCAATGTACTCACCGAATGCGACCTGAAGCTCAAGGAGAATGTTGCCAAATTGATTGACATGCTGGTCGACCCACACGTCCTCAAGAAGTACGGCTGGCCCAACACCTCCGAGGAGACAATGCTCTGCAAGGTGATCGAGAACTGTGGCCATGATCTCAGCAAGGATGAGGAGAACTACGCTGAGCTGGAATACGGCGATCGTATGCGCGAATATTGCAAACTTCTCTTCACTGTGGTCATTCACAATGAGTCCATACGGTCCCTGCTCAACAATTTCCCCATCGACGATGTCATCGAGTATGTGCTAGGAGACGAGGACCAAGACGATGATGAGGAGGAGGATGGCAAGAAGAAAGACACTGATGCTGCAGTAGACAACAAGTCGGACACTGCAGAGACCCCAGCAGACGATAAGGATTAGACGTTAAAGTTACACTTTTGGTTTCGGTTTCGGTTTAAACACCAAGTGACCTTAGAAATGAATGCATCCGGACCTGCCTGTTAATTTGTTAGTGCGCACCCAAAACGATTTATACACGAAGCACCTTTGCTGACACAAATGTTGAGGATATTTTGATATTATATTTACAAAATTTACACACGTTACGAAATTATATATATGTATATCCATGCGGTGTAGTTTATCCATCTATTTTTTATATAAATAAATATTAAAACACATTAATCCAAGATGTACTCTTCACATTGTTCATTGTTCCATCAGCATCTTGAGAATGCGCGCATTGTTCTGGAGTATCTTGTGGCGACTCTCGTCGATTAGCTCCTCGTACTCAGCAATGCTGGCATCGATCTGCTGCAGTTGATGCTTCATCGGCTCTGTGGCGGATGCCGTGAGGCTCCGCTCACGCTTCAGCTCTGTGGCTGCCTGTGTGTAGGTGTCGCGCCACATTGTCAGCTCCAGCTGCATGGCATCAATGTCCTCGGGTATGAAATCCATCAGCTTACCCAGAGGATTCACAGCCTTGGTCAGGCTCTGGATGAGATCGCGTAGGTCGTTCACTTGCCGTGCAGAACTCTGACGGGCAGTCTGATTGGGTTGAGTGGCCGGCTGCTCTGTCTCGGCACTCTGGTGCACCAGCTCCTTTTGGGTCTCCAGAATTTGCTGCACCAGCCGGCCCTGAGCATCCACCTGACCCTCCAGCAGCGGCTCCTCGGCGCCTTTCTCAATGTCGTGGGAGTTGGCGTCTTCGATGATCACCAGGTTCTCGCCGTCATCGTCCAGGTCCCCAAAGGTCTCCAGCTTCACATTGATGCCAGACATCTTAATCTGATCATTGGGCTGCAGCACAATCTCCACATTGCGACGTCGTGGAGCACCGGGACGAGCGGAGGCTGGTCGAGCACTTGGCGGCCGCAACGAAGTGCGTGGCCGCTGATTGGTTTCCTTGGAGTTTTCCCTTGTGAGGGGAGCAGCCACTTGCCTGGCCTCCTCTTGGTTGTTGTTGTTGGAGTCTGCCTGTGCACTTGGTTCTGGCTGCTGCTGCTGAATCTTGGAGGAGGATGCAGGCTGTTCTGGTTCTGCTTGGGCTGCTGCCAACTGCCTCTGGCTACCACTGGAGCGTCGACTTTTGCTAGATGATTTGCGACTCTCCGACTCAGTTGGGGGCGCTGTAGACTCCTGGGCAAGCTCAGCTGCCGCCTCCTTGGAAACTTTGGGGGATGAGGATGGAGATGGTTTCTTGGTAACAGCCTCAGGAGATGCTTTCTTTGGTGCAGCTTCAGGTGATGAGCTCTTGGTTGCAGCCTCAGGAGATGCATTCTTGGGTACAGCCTCAGCAGACGCTTTCTTGGGTACAGCTTCAGGTGATGGTTGCTTGGCGACCGCTGCCGGCACGGGTGACATGGACATGGCCACCGTATCGCTCTCGGTTGAAGCCTGCCCCTTGGTCTTTGCCTTCTGCTTCACTGGCGATGGGCTCTTCTGCTTGGAGGCCTGCCGACTGAGCTTTGCCTCGCCAGCAGTCGCTTTAACCTTCTTCTGAGTTAGTTTTTCCTTTTCCGTTGGCGTACCGCGGGATGCCAGCGCGGTGGCCTTACGCAGCTTCTGCTCCTGGGGCGAGACGCGCTTCTCCTTGGCTCGCTTTGCCTCCTCTTCCTTGCCAGATGGTGAGGTTTGCTTGCTGGGTGGTTTGTTCTCCTTCTTGGGCTTTTCTTTGGCTGGTTTTATGAGGGCAGTGGCAGCTACCGCAACCTGATCGACGGCCGTTTGCCAGTCTAAGCTCTGCTCAGCCACACTGGCCATGGCCTGGAGAAGCTCGTTGGTTAGCTCGGGCTCTTGCCCAGCCACTATCTTGGAGGTGCGCACTTTGAGGTCCCTTTTCGTTGTTAGTTCTGTGGATGAGACATGAATCAATCAATCGGTTTTCGGGGGCACTCCCTTTATCCAAAACTCACTGATTGCATCGATCATTTTTTGCAGGAATCGTATCTTGGCCTCGCGATCTCCTATGTTCTCGAACTGCTGCTCCTCAAACGTGTACAGACCCTCGAAGGTGGCCGTCTGCTTGATGAACTACACGCAGAATTAGACTTAGAAGCTGAAGGGTACGTGCAGAGGTGTCTACTCACCGAATTGAACACATCCATCAGAAAGCGAAAGGGCGGCTTCTTCAGCAGCTTCTCCGTGAGTGGCGGCTTTTTAATGTACTTACCCAAGGCCTGTTGTGTGGCCTTGATAATGGCATCCAATTCTTGATCGGACGACATCTTTTCCGTGTTTGTTTTTTTCTCTTGGTAAAATTTGCTTTTATTTTTCCTCGACTGTTGTTTGTTTGGTCCCCCGGTTGTCCTGACAACCCATGAGCCGAGGAAGCAAGCGCATGCTCCCTTGCTGGGAAATTCCTTTGGTTAATGGAAATTTTAAAGGTTTGGAGGGTGGTCCCCTTGCTCATATGGGTTACATTTTTCGAAATATAAAGATAATACAAATTGCGTTATAATTTCAATTGAAAATAAACAATTTCTTTTAATAAAACTTTAATTTAAAAAAAATTAAATTTCATCCGGTTTCATCCTAGAAGACTTTTATCGACTTGAGTTTTTTCTGATTAAAACTTTATTGATTTCGTTCCAACACAATTCTCACTTTATTTGTTATAAAAGGTTCTCTCTCTCTCTCTCATAGACACAACATGACTTGGCTCAGATATGAATGGGTTACGCAGAGGTTTTTGGTTTCTTGAATTGGATTGCACACACATTTGGGGTTTAGATTTTCAGTTGCGGTTTCTTTTAATACTCTTTCGAAAGCTAACAAATAAATTACAGTTACACAGTAGTTTTTAGGTAGTTATAGCGTGGTGGCCAATTTCTCGAACAGCGTTGCCGAAACGTAGGAGCAGACAGACTATATACAATTAAAATTAATAATTCTCATAACTACAATTATACACAGTGCGATATTAAAGCTAGTCATACACGAAATAAATCATAAACATAATTGGGTAGGAAGAGACATAAGGGGGCAGGTCAGACCTTGCAAGCAAATTGGCGGCAATTACAAGGGGCTGGCTGACACAATATATAAGATCAAATAAAAACATGGACAACAAACATGGCCTTGTCATCGTACTACAGGTTTGAATAGCGCAGCGCTTACGATTAGTTCTAGTTATGATTTATCGTAGTAGATATTAGGTATAGGGTATAGAGTAAGGGATAGGTAAGGTATAAGGTGTACTACGTGTCGATACATATAACATTTATAATAGTACGTATATATTACATTTAGAGTACGCTGCAATCCGTGCGCGGCAATTAAAAACAATTTGTTAAAATTAACTCTCAGTTGAATTTAGGCCAGTCTCAAACCCAGCGATGACTGCTGCTGCTTCTGCTGCTGCTACAACTCAAAGAAATCATCCTGCTGCTTTTCGAGACGCTTCAGCGAGTTTTGCACGCGACGCGTTTGCGTTGTGTTCAACAGCTGCGCCGTGTCCGAGTTCCCGCTGCCCGTCGAACTGTGTCGCTGATACTGAGGAGGACGTTCATTGTTGTTCTTGTAGGAGTTGTTCAGCGGATTGCGACGTTGTGGAAACACATCGGCACTGGCGCTGATGCAAATATCGGCATCACTCTGACTGCTGACCAAACTGAAAAGCGAAATCAATGAATTCTACCTCAAAATGTAAAAATCTTTCATTTTTCGGGCTTACTCCTTGGAACGTTCCACATATTTGCGCGACTCGGAAATGGTGTTGTCGATTTTGTTGAGGAAGTCATGCATGCACTTGCGATTCTCCTCCTCGGGCGTCATGGCCGCCACCGAGTCCAGGGACTTGCTCTGCTTGCTGCCGCACGCATTGTGATTGTGCGTCAAGGCCGGATCCTCATCGCTGGCCTGCACTAGCAGCTCGCCAGCAATCGAGTATGGACGTTGTGGCTGTTGCTGTGTGTTCGAGCGCACGCTCGAGGCAGAACCACTTGTGTTGCAGCTGCTGCTGCTGCCTCCGTTGCTGCTACTGCCACTGCTTCCGCTGCTACTGCTGCTGCTGTTCATGTAGTTGTTCGCCTGAACCATGCTATTGGCATTCTGCTGCGCCTCGCGCTGCACATTCACATCGGGTGTGCCCGGAGGTGTGGCCAGGACATCGAAGGCAGCGATTGAATCACCGCCACCCACCTGCGGATAGTAGGGAGAATTCTTTTCCACTGGCACCAGCAGGAATTGACGCAAGAACAGGCTGTCCGAGGCAAAGAGCCGGTTCGCGCGGCGTATTTGTTCCGTCTGAAATGCGATAGATATGCGAACATATTAGTATCACTCAATCCACTCAATTATTTGCAATTGCATCAGTGACAGCTGATTGATTGATCGATCGATCGACCGACGGCTTGACGGATGGCTACTGGCTACCGCCGTCTTGTCTGTCCGCTTGCATATACGGACAATGGTGTCAAGTCCAGCCTAATCTACATATTTTTTGGGGCTGTACAACAATTATTACGATTGCTTTAATCATTAGAGATGCTCTGGGTTTTAGTTCTAGCCAAATATTGTCCCAGTTGCTAGCTAAACAGCAGTTCGTTCCCATTGTGGACATAAATCATATGCAGCAATCTGTCAAGTCGGGAGTATCCAAAACATTTGGCTGCAGTATAGCCAGCGATAACGCGTCTGATAAATATCTAGACACCTGCCAGTCCCTTTCCTCGTGTCTATCTGTCGTCTGTCTGTTTGCCCAAGTCGCTAGACGACTTATCACATCTGCCCCACATGTGCTCCTACAGGTGTGCAGGTGTGTTGGGGGGTGTTTGCTCGTAAATTACGGACGGACCGAACGATGGCACTGAGTGGAAGATGGAAGACATTGGAGTGGGTTGGCTGGGCACGTGCGGAGTTGCTAGGGGCAACAATTGCGATTGTTAAATCAATAAAATTCAAACTCCACTTAAAACTTGAAGTCTTGCGTGTCCATAATTGCATGTGGGTCATCCCTTGGCTTGGATCGATCTGTGTACTTACCGAGCAGCCATATTTCAGAGCGATTCCCTGCAGCGTGTCCGTCTTGTCAACGATGTGCCGTATTAGGGTCTCGTTATTCCTCAAGCTGTTGCAGCAGGTGCTGCCGTAGCGCTTGAGGGTGCGCGCGGAGTCGCGTATTGATTGCTTCTCGTTGAACATGAATTCCGTGTCATCCATATCAGGTACGATCTCTTGAAACTGCAAAGAATAGATATTACCATAGGGGGTTTAGAAAGTTGCATTCGTTTTCGATTTGCTTTGATGTGATGTCATGGCCACAACGTAACGCCCCCCCCCCCCCCCCCCCCCCCCCCCACCCCCCCCCTCTCCTGCCCCCCCTCACTGCCTCCACCTTTATGTTTCACATCCCCCCAGCGTCCCCACGCCACCTCCTCCCACTCGCCCTCCCTATGCAACACCCCGGACGGTGTCAAGCGGTAACTGTTACTCCAGCACACACTGCGGAACCCACACAGATGCAGGCCCAGGCCCCTCCTTTCCAGAGCCCCCCTCCGGAACAACTTTTCAAACACAAACCCCAGAAGCCAAGTAGCGCCTTTTACTTTTCTTTCTCTCTGCTGGCAGCACTTTCAATTTTGCTGTTTTGCGACGTTATTTGCCAAGCTAAATACATACGTATGACGAAACCATACGTGCCGTCTCGTTGTGCCTCCCGTTCGTCCCAAATATAGTAATTTTTACATAAATTTTGGTCTGTGATTTTCCTGTTTACAATTATTATCAGTGTGACCGCGGAATTATCGATAAAATAGACCATCAGAAATATTCCGAAATATACCCTTGCATTTTCAAAATATACTGTAAATATACCGTAAATCTAAAATTTTTTTTCTCGATTTGTATGTCCTATTTGATATTACTTTCAACTTAAGACTTTTAACACTGAAACAATAATTTAATCCGTTTGAAGAATCAATTTGGCTTATTTTAAATAGTACTTTTTAATGGATTTTGTACTTTATGAAAGGCATGAAGCCTTTCATTGTTTACGAAAAAAGGATCAACCAAAAAAACTAGCCTAACAACTTTAATTAAAACGAGGACTGAACAGTGCTGTCTAACGACTAAGTCTGTGATTGTTTTTGACAGCGTTGCCACATGCCAGCAATGATGGCGCGCTTTTGAATTGGCAGCCTATACAATGTGATAGGCGCGTGGTTTTGGTTGCCTTTTGTCTCAAAAACAGACTTTGCTTCGTTGCTAATTTACTATGGTTGTGGTTGTTGTGGATACACTTTTCACGTGATCCGCCGCCGTCTACGTAAACGTCTTTTAATGTATTGTATATATTAAGTCAGGTTCGAACCTGTTTGAACAAAGCAAGTCGGCCAGCTGCTGCTGGCTGCTGTTTGTGGCGTGGCCTGCTGCAGCAGCAGCAAATATTGAAATTAGTGGACGACGTGCCGGTGATTGGTAATTACCATGTGACTGTAGTATCCAACTGATATCTGAGCCCAAGTGTATGTGCAATATTATTGCACTATAGCAGCTGCCATGGCATGGCATGGGCCCGGCTGTGGGCAATCACTTCCTTGGCCAACTATTTGCATTAATGTTAGCTTTAAGGTCAACAACAACAACAAACAGTTGTACTAACATAGCGCTCTGTTCAAATGTTTCTTGTCTACAGCTCATTGTTTGTGCTCATACTATCTGTATTGGACGCCATTTATTTATGTTTGGCAAATATATTGTTGATAAGCATCACTGATAATGCACGCATACACCCACAAACCGCCCCCTATGTACGATCTAATATTAAGTAGGGGAGAAAAGGAATGAATGTGGATAGACAACGGTCATTGACATGTTTTTGACATGCAGTCCAGTCACGAGCTGCTTGCTATGCCACTCGTTCTAACGGGGACTCAGGGGACTCCCCACAAGCCGTAACTCTGACCCGGTGAAAGCTCTCTGCAAATTATCAATTCCAGGCACAATAAACCATACACACCTGAGTAATGATCACAACACGAGCACACGTCTGTCTCTGCCACTGTCTCTGCGCCGTTTTGGATTTTCGCGTTTATTGATGCACAAATTAATGTTAAATGGCACTTTTTTTTGGCACTTTGGCTCTAAAAGAAGCTGCCTGTAAATCTTCGCTCAGACATCGCTAAAATTAAAACATCAGACATGCTTTGCTGATGCTGAGGTGCGTCTGCGCTTTGGTGAGTCACCAATTTGCAGCATCGTGGGAGGAACAAACCATTGTCCGGTTGCTGTGCCAAAAGAGTAACTTCACAGCGAGGTGAAGGTCTGAAGCGAACTTCAGAACTGCCAGATCGAAGCCATAAGTTAACCAGCCAGAGAATGTGTCAGAGCAACTAAATTGTGTGCTCATAAATTTAATGATATCGCTTCTAATCTTTTTCAATTTGTTGCTATGTTCTATGTGCTGGCGCAGCTGG